GCCCGGTGCCGGACTTCCTCGCCGGGCTAACAAGCCTCCGCACCCTCGTCATCGCCGACGGCAAGCTCGCCGGCCCCATGCCCGGGTGCCTGGGCAGCCTCCCCGGCCTCAGGTACCTGGACCTCAGCGGCAACATGCTCACCGGCGCCATCCCGCCGGGGCTGCTGCACGGGAGCTTCAGGTTCCTGATCCTGGCCAACAACCAGCTCACCGGCGAGATACCGAGCGACTGCGGCGACGACGACGTCGACACCCTCGACCTCTCCCGCAACCGGCTGACGGGCGACCCGTCGCCGTTCCTGTTCGGCATCGCGAAGCCGCTGGCCAAGGTCGACCTGTCGTGGAACGAGCTCGAGTTCGACATGAGCGACGTCAGCTTCCCGCACCACCTCACGTTCCTGGACCTCAGCCATAACCGGATCAACGGAAGCGTGGCCAAGTCGCTGATGGACGTGAAGCTGGAGCACTTGGACGTCAGCTACAACGGCCTCTGCGGCGAGATCCCGGCGGGGAGGTTCATGTCGGCGCACGGGGCGTAGAGCTACGAGCAGAACAGGTGCCTGTGCGGCACGCCTCTGCCTCCCTGCACCACAGGAGGCATCCTAGGTCGGTAGTCTCTAGTGATAATTCAGGTTTGTGCATGCATGAGTGGGAGTGGCGGCAGACGACGGTGATCAACGGGCAGCATGTTTTTTGTATGTTCAAGTTAGGGTGAGTATAAATTACACGCTCCATAAGCTATAATCGTGGAATCTTGGAGTGCATGCTCCATTGACTCGTTGAACAATTGTGACGGGTGTACGAGTAAAAGCGTCTTATATTTTGTTTACGAATAATCCTACACCTAGGAAAAGAACTACGAAGGGCTACGTAATTCTTTGCCCCCCTCCCTATTTTCAGTGGGGGTGGGCCCCGCCTTCTCCCAAGACCAATCAAAATTTGCCAACTGAGTAATCACGTAACAATTACTCCCTCCGTTCCTAAATATTTGTCTTTCTAGAGATTTCAACCAGTGATTACATACGGAACAAAATGAGTGAATCTACATTTTAAAATAAGTCTATATACATCCGTATGTAGTAGTTCATTTGAATCTCTAAAAAGACAAATATTTAGGAACGGAGGGAGTACGTGCGTTTAGTAGGTGTAGCATTGCCGTTTGTTTACATAGGAGAAACGAAAGGGGTACGTACGGGTAAAATCTTCTTACTGGTCTTTCATTCTCAAAATGCTTCCCAAGTTAAGAGCTCACTCTTGCTACCAAATTACTCATGGGAATATTTCCTTTTGGAGTTCCCCGTGCTATTCTTTCTAGACCGCCATTCATAATCATCTCATCATTCAACCGCCTGGCTTTATTTATCCTGCTCAGGTTAAGGGCCTCTCTTCCTGGGCAAAAAACTTGAAACAACAATCTTATTCATTCTCTTTTTCGAAAAACCTATACCTTCTTCTATTACTCAAACCTCCACTATTCAGGATGATCGCCCAAATATTCTTTGTTGGGACCTCACTCCAAATGGCAAATGCACTTCTAAATTCACTCTATTGCCGCCGCCGGCTCTTCTCCCCCTCCATTCCCCCTCGACGCCTTCAGAGGCAGCCGTTGGCTCGCCATGTAGCCGCCGGTGAAGGGGGCGACAAGGATGTGCATGTCTCGCCTGCTGATGATGGAGAGCCTGAATCCGAGGTGGTGTGGATGGCGTCCCTTCGATGGCAATAGTGCTTGCCAGTGTAGGCGGCATGGACATGAAGGCCCTGGTGGCCGGATCTCGCGGCGTGGGAAGGGTCCCGGTCCTTCCCTCGCCAGATATGATTTGAGGCGGTCCCCGGGGTCCGTTTCCATGCACGCGGATCACCTCCTTCGGCCAGCCCCGAACTCCGGCGTTTGTACTCGGTGGTGCTGGCAGTTGGCTCGGAGGATGTCGGGATGTGATCTTGTCTAGGGGGAACCTCTAACCGACGGCGGCAGCAACGACGTCGATGGCGCTCCGTGCACTATTACCTCCTAGGTGGCGACATCAACGTACAACTACCCCTAGTCCCCTTTGTCCTATGTGCCCTAGTGAAAACCCTACTTCCTGGTGAATGGGCAACGCTAGCTACGTCGTCGTCACTTCCTTGGAGGCACCATCTTGGGCACTAGAAGGGTGTGTGTGGCAACCTCTGTTGGGTCCTAGTGGCACCCTGGGTGTTCACCTCGTTCGGGCTGCTCTGACGAAAACCCTAGATCTGGGTCTCCTAGATCGGACAATGACGGTGTCTTCGGTGCCCTTCTCCCTCCCAAGGGCATCGTTTTAGAGCAGGTGCTGGCTGGAGGGGACAAAAGGTGGAGCAGCGTTGCATCTTCAGCATCGACGACAACGGGTCTCAGCGGAGTGGGGTCTTGATGCTGGACACGTGGTTATGGGCGCATGCTGGAGGGTGACGCTGTCTGGCGCCGTGGTGGCGTCAATGACAGAATGGTCTGGCAAGGTCAATGCATTGATCATTCCTGAAGATGGGTTGGAAGATGATGACGACGGATTATAAAGCGTGCGCATGCGGTGCGTGTTGAGGCTAGACCGTTTGGTGCTTCCTGCTAGCCGACGGGCGGCTTGGTGAGGCCACTGAATTACATGGTGTATGTTGACACGAGGTCAGGGTGCATCATCAAGCTTGTAGTTATGGTAATAGTGTTTGTCAAGAAGGTGGCTTTGGCTTGATTCATGTATTTTTTTGTAAGACTTTGTTGGATATAATCTAATAAAAATGACTATGCATCGGAGAGGTCAGGGTTCTCCTCCTTCTCAAAACAAAAACTTCTATTTCACTCATAAATTGTGCTGGCGGGATATCAAAGCATTCGAGGAATGCTCCCTTTCAAAACTCTCCAGCCCTCACGTCCTGCTGCCACCGTCCATCTGAAAATAGGGAAGACCTGCGGGGAAATACCATTTGGTTTTTGGGTGTATATACACCTCATATTAGAAAATAAATAAAAAACTTTTAGAAGTATTTTTAGAATAAACTTGACTTTCTTTTGCAACAGTATGTAAATTGTCATGAATAAAAAACCAGCATTTACTTTAGGGCAAAAAGAAACAAAATTTATTGCTATTATAGATCACTATTCACATGATTTTGACCGAAAATATATTTTTCTAAAGGAAGTCAACAGGATTTTTTCTTTTTGTGATTTTTTTACAAATACAATGAAAGGCAAGTTTATTTAAAAAAATAGATTTTTTTTTTACTTTTTATTTAGTTACTAAAAATTTCTTCATATAGGGTGTATATACACACATAGACCATAGACCAAAGGTTTCCCTCCAGACCTGTGTTTCTTCTTCCAGCTTAGAAAAATGCATCCGCCCACCATCCAGTAAATGCGAACTGTACTGGCCACCCTCTCTGGATCGCCGATTTCGTTGCGTTCTCGCACATGTACTACCCCTGTTTCTTTTTACTCCGCGTATAAAATTTGTTTGAAGTCAAACTACATAAAATTTGACCAAATTTATCTAAGAAAATAGCAACATTTATAATACAAAAGTTATGTAGTATATCTAAAGATATTGATCTCATATTGTGAATATTGGTATTTTTTCTCATATAGTTGACCAAACTTTACAAAGTTTGACACAGGACAAAAAAGAAACTGAGGGGTACATACTACTCACTCCGTTCTAAATTATTCGTCGCGGAAATGGATATATGTAGAACTAAAATATATCTAGATATATCCATACCTACGACAAGTAATTCGGAACGGAGGGAATACTTGACATGGTTCAACTCTCTCCACTCCCATCACCATTCAAGAGACTGGCATGGATGCATATGTAACAATGTTAATAACGAGCACACAAACCACGCGTTTGTTGAGCGTTGCACACATCTGCATCCCGGCCTTTATTTTTAATTAAAATGCCTCCACCGGCACGCCGCCGCACTATTTGCACTACTAGTACGATTGAGCCAAAATGACATTCTGCGATATCCTTAGAGGCTTACAGAATGTGATGACATATGACCTAAGGGCATCTTCAATGGTTGTAAGATAGTTGTTCGTAGACTTTGCCATATAGGATTGTTGATGATGTGTCATACAATAAATAAGGAAAGAGAAGAAGATTGTATGTACATGAACCAACATCCATTCCACAAGCTCCAATGTAGAATGAGAGAGTACTCCATTTATTATCTCACATCCTATTGGACAAACTAGATACAACTCATTAAAGTTGTTGTATGTTAAGGTGTTGGTTGATGACATGACATATTTTACCAAAAACCTAATATACAAACTATTGAAGATGCCGTAAGGAGCAAGTCTTTTTATCGTTGATTTGTTCATTCTCTAACTTCCACAGCCACTTGCCCAGTAAAACTATGTTTGTATCGCTCTGATTTGTTCATGGGGCTGCTATTTTCTTTTTAACATTTCATGGAGCTGCTAATGGTACAAGTATATAGGCTAGCCTATGGTGGTAATACTGCCACCCTCTAAATCGGTGATTTATTAATGGGGCCTGCTATAATGGCCACCTACCGATACACACAAGTGAATGGGTTTACTCCCAAAATATGCTCCACATCAGCATAAAATTAATTACACTACGAAAGTCTAGCATTGCTCAGCCGTGAATGAATCCGTCTTAGGGCCAGTTTTTTTCGGTGATTCTACCAGAATCACCCCCTTCCCCAGCTTCTTCCAGAATCGCCACTCCATATTTTTTTTGCAATCCTATCTAGTTAAGGTCTAATTAGCTAGGATTATAAAAAACATATGGATGGTGATTCTGGGAGAAGCTGGGGAGGGTAGAATCGCCCAAAAGAACTGGCCCTTATTCGTAAGTTGCGCAGATGAGTGAAATTTATGTCTGGAGTGTAGGTGTAGGTTTATTGATTTCACTGTAGCAAAACGGGCTACCTACTATGCACATTTCTACTGGTCTATAAAATGCATCCGGCCACCAGCCAGCGTCGCACCATCTCCATATCCTGCACCACTCGGAATGAAAACCACTACCACTATGGCATTCCCGTCACCGCTAGCCCTCCTGGCCGTCTCGTGCATGCTGCTGCTCCTGCTTGTGCGCAGCATGACGCGAGCCACAAAACATCTCGCGCACCGCCACCGCCTGCCACCCTCCCCGCGGGGTCTCCCGATCGTCGGCAACCTCCACCAGCTCGGCGGGCTCCCGCACCGCGCCCTGCACGCGCTCGCCGCGGCGCACGGGCCCGTCATGCTGCTCCGCCTCGGCCGCGTGCCCACCCTGGTCGTCTCGTCTGCGGACGCGGCGCGCGAGGTGCTACAGCTGCAGGACCACGCCTTCGCGAACCGGCCCTCGCTCACCATCCCGCGGCGGCTCCTCTACGGCTGCACGGATATCGCCTTCGCTCCCCACGGCGCCTACTGGCGCGGCGTGCGCAAGATCGCCGTGCTCCACCTGCTGAGCCCCGCCAGGGTGCGCGCCTACCGTGGCGAGCGCGAGGAGGAGGTCGCCGAGCTTGTCCGGAAGGTGGAGCGGCAGGCACATGAAGGCGGCGGCGTGGTGCGGCTGAGCGAGCTCCTGAGCGGCTTCGCCAAGGACGTGAACGGGCGGATCGTGCTCGGGGTGCGCGCCTCGGGCGGGGCCGGGTGGCGGGCCAAGGTGGACGCGCTGCTCGAGGAGGCCAACGCGCTGCTCAGGGAGTTCCACGTCGGCGACTACTTCCTGTGGCTGGCATGGGTGGCCGCCGTGGACGGGACGGACGCCAAGGTGAGCAGGGCGTTTGAGAGGATTGATCGCATTCTCGAGATCATCGTGGCCGCGAGCGCTGGCACGGGGTGCCGCCACGACGAGGCGTTCGTGCATGTGCTGCTATCACTGCAGAGTGATTCGAGCGGGGCTGGGTGGCGCTTGACCAGGGACAACGTCAAGGCTCTACTTGAGGTACGTAAAACTGCATGCATGGTGCATTCATGCCGGAGGCTGGACACGTACTTTCTCAACGCGTCGAAACAAGAGCATTGACTGGCTACATCCACGGGGATGTTACTTATATCTTGAAAAACGATCTTATATTATGGAACATGGAAGTATATTTTATGGTGGCTAGAACAGTTGGCAAGATTTATTGGAAAGAAGGGGAAAGGAGAGGCCCACCCCGGTGAAATTCAGACGGGTTGGGCGATAGAATTAATAGGCAGGTTGCCTAGCTCTTCGTCAGGGCTTCTTATGTACGATTATTGTCGAAACAAATTGGTTTTGCTAAACCTTATGTGCCTCAA